ATGGTTCCCATCACCACGCTCTGATGGCCCCATGTGTTAATCTTCCCTGAAAGGATTAAACCGGCATTTCTAGCAGAACTTACTTGGGTTCCCTTTACCCTCGACACTTAAACTCTTTTTTGCCCTTCAGAAACTCCAGACTGATTATACACCTTGCTTCTTTCAACTCACTCCTTCCTTAACTCTGGACATCCTTAATTTTGGTTTTGTAATGGGTTTATGTCAGATTTGTAGGGTGTTTTCTGCCTAGGTTTGGACGATATCTTGTCCCATAAAATAGCTTCCATAAATTGTTCATATTATTTGTATTTGTATTGTATTTATAAGGGTAAATCTATTTCCAAGTTCTGAGAGGTAATTTCCCTATACTCTGCTTTGGCATTGTAAAACATTATTTTTAATGTTTTTGATAGTAGAAAGTTTTCATCCTTTGAAAATGAATTTGAGTTTTTAATAACAGTGGAAATCAGATGCAAACTGGCTAATTTAGCCAGTTTGGTAAGAGGGGTAATACCATCTTTGTCCATGAGTCATGCCAATATAAAGCTTACTTTATACTTTCTTACAAGGAATTCTCAGAAGGGAGAATTCTAAAATATTTTAAGCAATGACAATAAGTAAACATTCTCTTAGTAACTTCCTGAGTTAATCATTCTGATGAGAATGTTAGTCATTTGTATACATATAGTTGTTATATATGTTCGATATTGTCCATGAAAGTTTGTGGGGTTTTTTAAATTTTTAAAAAATTTTTATTCTTGAGAAAGAGAAGAGACAGAGCATGAGCGAGGGAAGGCCAGAAAGACCGAGGGAGACACAGAATCCCAAGCAGGCTCCAGGCTCTGAGCTGGCAGCACAGAGCTGATGTGGGATTCAAACTCAGGAACCTCGAGATCATGACTCTGAGGCAAAGTCAGACACTTAACTAACTGACTGAGACACCCAAGCGCTGCCCCATTTCTGTCTTATTCTTCAGGCAGGACTCTCAATCTTATAACTCAGTGGTTCTCATACTTTAGGAGTGCATTGCACATTTAAAATTACTAAGGACTGGGGCGCCTGTGTGACTCAGTCAGTTAAGTGTCTGAGTTCCACCCGAGGTCGTTCATGAGTTCAGGCCCTGAGTCAGGCCCTCTGCTGTCAGCATGGAGCCTGGAGCCTGCTTCCTATTCTGGCTCCCCTGCTCCGCCCCTCCCCAACTGGCTTACTTGCGTGCTCGCTTGCTGTCTCTCTCTCTCTCTCTCTCTCAAAAATAAACAAAAACATTGAAAAATAATAAAAATTACTGAGGATTTTAAAGAGTTTTTGTGTGTTTTTTGGTGTCTTTTGTGTGTGTGCGGTGTACTCGATATAACATTATTAGTTTCAGGTGTCCAACATAATGATTTAATATTTGTTTATGTTGCAAAATGATCACCACAGGAAGTACATTTAGCGTCTGTCACCAAAAGAGCTTTTGTTTATATGGGTTATGTCTGCTAGTGAAACAGACATTGATTGATGGGTTGGTTGAGTAGCAGAAGTGGGAAAGTTTATTAAAGTAAAAAGTATACTATCAAGATCCGAGAGCAGGCAGAATGAGACAGATTTAAAATCTTATGTATTTACATTCATGTACAAGTGACAGTAATAACCCCATTGAATATTATCATAAATATATTAATGAAAAATAGCTGTATTTCCCTAAACAAAAAAATGTGGTGAGGAGAAACACTTTTATGTACCTGCAAATCTCTTTCATGTCTGGCTGAATAGAAGTTAAACGGGTTTTCATCTCTTCTGCATCCAGTCTATTACTGTGTGTTGTTCCGGTTAAAGTACATGAAGACTGGTCTCTCGTAGATTTACAACTGGAAAAAGGAGTATTTGAAGATCTTTTCAGATAATTGTGGATTTTTTTTCTTTGATACTGTACCAAAACTTGGCAAGTCATAGTTTCCTAAAAGTTCATTGCAACATAGAATCTAAAATGTGTATCAGTGAATCTTCATATGTTAAAACCATTGATTGGCCTTGTACATGGAGTGAACCTTTTACCCAGGAGTGATGTGACATCATGCATCGCTCATTTGGAAATAACTGGTTCAGTGAATTACACAGATCTTTCAAGGATTGATGTGTTTTATTAAATAATTGTTTTAAAAATCACATTAAAACACTGGTGACTTCACCAAAAAGGACTGTGAGTGTTGGGAAGCTGTCAAGGTCATGATGGTGGATAAGTTTTCCAAAATTTAAATTTTATCATTGGCAACACATACTTTCAGTTTTCTTAAGGTGATTGGCTTACTTTCTAATATCTGCCAAATCTCGAAGTCTGTGTAATCACAGTTTGCCTTGTCTTCCTTTCAAATACAAGGGTAATCAATGAAAAAAACATCCAATTCAAATAATCCACAAGTACGTGCTCTTTCTAAAGGAAAGAATGATTGTATTTCAGTTTGTAGCCGAAGTCCCTTATCTCTGTGTGAAGCTGGGCCTTTACTGCAGACACAAACTGCAGAGGTTCAGGTGCGTTCTGACACGAGTTGCAGGTTTGGGGTCCCCAAGACCACCTATAGTAGCTCCTAGAAGGACTCCGAGCTCACGGAAAGCTGTTACGTCGGGGTTATGGGTTCCTGCAGGGGAAGGATGCAGATCTGAAAGCAGCCCAGGGGTTGTAATGGATCAGAGTCAGGAGACTTTATCCTCTCCTAGTGGGCTTGCGGCCAGTACTCAGTCCTCCCAGCAGCGTGTGGGACAGCCTGGGGCTCTCCTGTAGACCAGGCAAGCGGCTGACCTCACCCTCCAGCCCCTCTGATACCAGAGGTCAAGTTGACCCAAAGCCCCACCCTAAGTCACACTTTCAGGCTTTCTGATGGGGCAGCAGGCCTGGGGTAAACAAAGACACTTCTGTCTGGAAGGATATTCCTGGGGGCTTAGCGATGACCTCCCAGGAGCCAAGGGCAAAGGCCAGACCTCTCTTTGGTTAAGGTTAAATTCTTTACTGCCAGTATGCTGCCCCTGTCATCACAATAATTTTAAAAAGTACCCTGGGGTCACGGTTTAACAGAACTAACACTTTGCTTCCCCACCAGGGCATTCTTATGTAAAACCAGTGTTGCCTGTTTTGAGGTTTTCTTCCTGTGAGTGGGCGGAGACGGTGTGCGGCAGCTCCCCCCCGTCCCTGCCAGTGTCATGGAGGTGAGGAAGGGAGTCTTAATATTCAGGGGGCCGGTTCTGAACTCAGACGTGCCTTCAGAACCTCGCTGTGACTCTTGTGTAGTTAGCAGCCTGTCCTGTAAGAAGGTATCTGGAGGGGACTCCGGCCAGGCCGGCTTCTTCCTCTGTAGTCTGCTCCTGAGAGACCCAGTGCGGATTTGCTAAGTTAACTATAGAATCCTTTCATCACTTCAGGGAATCTTTTCAAAACTTTTGCTAGGTTAAGAGTGACTCCATTTGTTCCCATTTGTGATGTGCTTTTTTTTCTCTTTTGTCGTATGGAAGAGTTGTCAGATATGTGCTGATTCCTTAGAGCCTTGAGAATCCATTTGATTACATTTTCCTCTTTGACATTTAAATCAGTTACACAGTTCTGCTTGCTGTCATCCTAACTGCTTGGTGTGGGCACACCTCCTCCAGATTAGTGTGACTCCAGCCTTCTCCATACCTGGTTTTACCCCCAAGTCCATCCCCTTCTAGCCACCAGGATAATCTGTTTGAAATGCAGATAATGATAGCTGGGCCGCACACAGTGCTGCTTCTATGCCAAGCACTTATTATTTTTTTTTTTAAATTTTTTATTTATTTCTAGGAGAGAGAGAGAGAGACAGCGTGAGCAGGGGAGGGTCAGAGAGAGAGGGAGACACAGACTCCGAAATAGGCTCCAGGCTCCGAGCTGGCAGTCAGCACAGAGCCCGACGCGGGGCTTGAACCCACGAACCGCGAGATCATGACCTAAGCGAAAGTCGGACGCTTAACCGACTAAGCCACCCAGGCGCCCCGCCAAGCACTTATTTTTAACGCACTGACTCCTCCACATCCTTGAACGGGAGATAGCTGTTACCATTTTCCTGATGAGAAGCCTCCGTCCCAGAGAAAGGGGCTAGCAGGTCTGGTTCTGAAGTCCCAACTATTCTAGACTGCTTCTCATTATGCAGTTTAAAATCCCTTGCTCATGTCTAAACACCAGAGAACAGCCTCCTAAACATGGCATCTAAGACCTTCCGTGAGCTGACTCTCGCTCTTTTAGGACTTTTACGAATCCACTGCCTGTTTGATGTTACAAGCTACAAGCTGTAGCAGTTCAAATCCACTTAGTTTACCTACAAGCAGAGTGTTCCTCATGGCCTCTGCACCTTGGCTGACACCCTTCCGCCAGGTACCTGCCGGAGCTCAGGTGGGAGCTCCTCCAAGTAGGGTTTTTCTCACCTTTCTCCTTTCCCCCTTTCCCCCCGCTGGATGAGGAATTGACTGTCATAGGCAGACAAACCAAAAGTGTGGTAAGTGTACTGAGAAGGGAGCTTGTGACCCGTAGGAAAGGTAAATACTTGGCAGTTAGCAGTTCGGTCCTATGTCCCAAACTATAGCGTCTGCTCCTTTGAAGACAGGGATTCATTTTATGCCATCCATACATAAAAAAATGAAGTATTTTCAGGGTACCTGGGTGGCTCAGTCGGTTAAGTGTCTGGCTTTTGATTTTGGCTCAGGTCATGATCTCGTGGTTCCTGGGATGGAGCCCAGAGACTGCTTGGGATTTTCCGTCTCCCTTGTCTCTCTTACTTGTGCATGTGCCTACAACCTCTCTCTCTTCCCCAAAATAAATAATCTAAAAAAAGTGAAATAGTTTCTGAATAAATGAACACAATTTTTCTCCTAAATTGTATCTATTTCATAATTTCCTCAATCCTCAAAATTAAATGAGTCTTTTTATATAGACGTTTGGAAAATTGTATAATGTAGATTTCTAGGATTTTATATTTTTAGGTAATGAGTTTTCCTTCTCTTGTTTCTTTTGCAAGCTCCTTGCCCGACTTGAAGGTAGAAGTTCCTTGAAAGAAATAGAACCGAATCTATTTGCTGATGAAGATTCATCTGTCCATGGTAAGAACAATCTCAAACCAAAATAGTGTCATAAATTAAGTCTTCTAAAACATGTTTTCCCCCCACGTGTATTCATTTATGTGTACATACCCCTAACAAGTGGCTATATGGATTAAACTGTAAAATTAAAAAGTGAGAAATAGATCATGACAGAACACTTTCAAGTGTTATCTGTGTCAGAGGAGATGAAATTTGACTCATCATCTGCGGTGAATCTTGAGAACAAGTATTGACCTCTTTTATCCCAACACATTATTTGTGGGGTTTTGTTATTATAATTATTTTTTAATTCTTTAGAAGTTCGAGAATCACAGGAAAGCCCTTAAGTGCCCCATTGTCTGTTCATATCTCTACAGAAGGGAAAAGATGTACCTACTTTTCCCACTAACACTTTTACACTAGGGAAAACTTACAAAGAAGGTCCTGTGCTTGGGTTGTTTTTCTATTAGTGGAAGAGCTTTGTAGAGCTATAAGTTTAAGTGTAGAACTTAATGGTTGTATTCTAATATTCACAGTTATGTACCTAGGACCACAATTGATTTTAGAATATTTTCATCACCTATTAGCAGTCACTGCCTGGCTCCTCCCACGTCCCTCAGCCCTAGGCAGCCACTCATCTACTTTTGGACTCTCTAGAGTAGCCCTTTCTGTGTATTTCATATAATTGAATTACACGGTATGTGGTCTTCGGGACTGGCTCTATCACTTGGCATCATCTTGCCAGGTTTTGTCATGTTGTGGCACATATCAGCAGTTGTGTTTGCTGTTGAGTGATGTCCTGTGGTGTGGGGTATCCCCATTTTGTGTGCCCATTCGTCAGCTCATGGACATTTGGGTTGCTTCTACTTTTTGTTATGCATAAAGCTGCTGTGATTATTATTTGTGTCCAGGCTTTTCTGTGGATCTGCTTTCAGTTCTCATGGATAATACCTACTGGAAGGATGGTTAGGTTCATGTGGCAACGATGTTTAACTTTTTGTGGAACTGCCGGGCTGTTTCCCAAAGCAGCCGCACGTTTTACTTGCCTCTGGTGGTAAAGTTTAGAATGGTCCCGGTTTTCCCACGTCTTGCAAACAAATGTTCTTATTCTCTGTGTTTTTAGTTATAGTCTTCCTAGTGAATCTGAAATGATATTTCATCCTGGTTTTGATTTACATTCCCTGATGGCTAGTGATATTAAGCCTCTTTGCATGTGCTAATTGGCAATTTGTATGTGTAATTTGGAGAAATGTCATATCTTTCGCCCATTAAAAAAATGGGTTGTGGGGCGCCTGGGTGGCTTAGTCGGTTAAGCATCCGACTTTCACTTAGGTCATGATCTCATGGTTCGTGGGTTCAAGCCCCGCATCCAGCTCTGTGCTGACTGCCAGCTCAGAGCCTGGAGCCTGTTTCAGTCTGTGACTCCCTCTCTCTCTGACCCTCCCCTGCTCACGCTGTCTCTCTCTCTCTCCTAGAAATAAATAAAAAATATTAAAAAAAAAAAGTTAAAAAAAAATGGGTTGTGTCTTATTATTGACTTATATAAAAAGTTTAATCCTTTATATATTCTAGGTACACGTACTTTATCACATGTGATTTGCAAACACTTTCTCCCATTCTGTGGGTTGTCTTTTCACTATCTTGATGGTGTCCTTTGAAGCACAGAGTTATTAATTTTGATGAAGTCCAGTTTATTTTATCTTTCCTTGCTCATGCTTTTTGGTATCATAGCTAGGAGGTCATTGGCTAATCCAAGATCAAGAAGCTTTATAGCTTTTTTGTTACTGATTTCTGTTTTCATTCTTTTCTGATCAGAGAACACACTTCTGTGATCCATTCTTTTTAATTGATTGAGATTTGTTTAATTGCTGACCATATGGCTTACCTTGAAGAATGTTAGATGTGCACTTGAGAAGAGTATATATTCTTCTGCAGTCGGATTGAGTGTCTTCATGATGTTTTGTAGTGCTCGTTGGTTTCCAACTATTGAAGTTTCCAACTATTATTTTTGAACTGTTTATTTCTCCCTTTATTTCTCAGTGTTGCTTCATATATTTTGAGGCTTCGTGGACTCTTGGGCACTTGTACGTTTGTTATACCTTATTGATGAATTGATTCATTTATCATCATAAAATGTTCTTTGTCACCTCACACCCATTAATTAGGGTGGCTCCAAAAAAAATTAATCAGTGTTGATGAGGACGTGGAGAAATTGGAAAACCCTTGTGCAGTGTTGATGGAATTGTAAAATGGTGCAGCCGCTATGGAAAACAGTATGAAGTTTCCTCAAAGAATCAAAAATAGAACCGTCATATGATCCAACAATTCCACTTCTGGGTGTATCTCCACAAGAATTGAAAGCAGAGTATTGAAGAGATATTTGCCTACCTATGTTCATAGCAGTACTATTCACAATAGCTAAGAGACGGAAACAACCCAGATGTTCACTGGCAGATGAATGGATAGACAGAATGAGGTCTCTGCAAATACAATATTATTGAGCCTTAAAAAGGAAGGAAATCCTCTCACATGCTACTACATGGGGAAACCAGGAGAACATGCGAAGTGAAATAAACCAGGCACAGAAAGAAAAATATTGTGTGATTTCACTTATATGAGGTATCTAAAGCAGTCAAGTTCATAGAAACAGAACAAAATGGTAGTTACGGGGGGCGGGGGCTGCGGAGAAAGGGGGAAAAGGGAAGTTGTTTAATGGGTACATGGTTTCAGTTTTGCAGGATGGAAAAGTTCTGGAGATGTTTCACAGCAATGTGAATGTACTTAACAGTGCTCAGCTGTACACTTAATGGTGAAGATGCTCAGGGCGCCTGGTGACTCAGTCTGTTAAGCGTCTGACTTTGGTTTAGGTCATCTCACGGTTCGTGGGTTTGAACCACGCATCACCCTTTGTATGGACAGGTCAGAGTCTGGAACCTACTTCAGATTCTGTGTCTCCTCTCTGTCTGTCCTTTCCCCCACTCGAACTCGGCCTCTCTCTCTCTCTCTTTCTCTCTCAAAAATAAATGCTAAAAAAAATTGTTAAGATGGTAAATTTTATGCTGTCTTTTAAAAGAGTGGAAAACAAAAATGCCATTGTCTCTAATAACAATTATTAAAGTATATTTTGTCTGATAATAGTATAGCCACATTAGCTTTCTTTTGGCTACTGTTTGTATGCTGTATCTTTCTCTATCCTTTTATTGTCTATTTGTGACTTGGCAAAGTGTGCCTGTGGTAGGTAGCCTACAGTTGGGTCGTGTGTTTTATTCCATGCTGCCATTCTCTGCCTTTTAGACTGTTTAATCCATTTATAACTAATGAATCACTGATAAGATCGGTTTTATGACTGCCATTTGCTCTTTTTATATATGTCATATGTTTTTTGTTTCTCTATTCTTCCTTCTTTTGTGTTAAATAAATATTTTCTGGAGGCATCTGGGTGGCTCAGTCAGTTAAGCATCCAGCTTTGGGTTTGAGCCCCATGTCGGGCTCTGTGCTGACAGCTCAGAGCCTGGAGCTGCTTCAGACTCTGTGTCTCCCTCTCTCTCTGCCCCTGCTGGCACTCTGTCTCTCTCTCTCAAAAATAAACATTTAAAAAAGTTTTTAAAAAATTTTTCTAACGTACCAGTTATTTCCGGTCATTACTTTTACTTTAGTTTTTTGAGTTATTTTCCTAATGGCTGTTCTGAGGATTACCATTAATATTTTAATTTAAAACAATTTAATTGGAATTAATACTACTGTAATTTCAGTATTTTATAAATACTTTGCTATATAGCTCCATTCCTTCCCCCTTTGTGCTGTTACAAATTACATATTTATACATTGTATGTCCATAAACACATCTAAACTTATTATTGAATTAAAATAAAATTAAGACAATAAATTAAAAAACCATTACAGCAAAGAAATTAAAATGCATTATAACAAATAAATTTATTACTTAATGCAATTGTTTCTTAGATAAAACAAGTTACAATTCTAAACATATTTACACGGTCTTTCATGTTTACCTTTGTGGTTGCATTTACTTGTGTTTTGTATTAACCCATTTGGATTTAAGTTACCTACTGTCCATTCGTTCAGACTAGAAGCCTCCCTTTACTGTTTCCTGTAGGACAGATCTGTTAGCAAACAATTTTCTAAACTATCAATAATGAAAGACAAATTTTGATCAAACATGTTAGAAGATTGAACTGTGTTCTATCAGAAAGGATGTCAGTAAGTTGGACCTTATGAAATTGACATTAAAGCAAGGGCTGTCAGCACCACTTATGCATTTGAGTATTACATTTATAGAAACTTTGTTTTTAATTTCAGAGAGTGAGCAGGGGAGAAGGGCAGAGGGAGAGAGAGATAGTAGAACCTTAAGCAGGCTCCACAGCCAGTACAGAGCCCGTGGTGGGGCTCTATCCCATGATCCTGGGACCATGACCTGAGCTGAAACTAAGAAGCTCTCAACCAGCTGAGCCATCCAGGCGGCCCTAGGTCTGTGGAGACTTTAGAAACACGTCTGTTCAGTCACTGACAAAAGAGCTTACCTGCACCTACCGTACACGTTACAGCTGTGAACCTAGTGAGATGAATACTCATTGGAGCATTGGCAGACTTAGGACTGGTATTGTAAGGGTTATTTATCAACAACAGTAGTTTATCAGAAACTGTATACGAAGCTCAAGTCGAAGCAGGAGGAGATTTAGGGATTACAGAAAGCTCTAACGCTGTTGGAAACATTTTAAAATTTTTTTGTAGCAACTCAGTACTATATACCAACTCATTACCTCCTCAGTACTATAACGAACATAATCTGCAAATTGAACATATTTGTTATACAATTAGTAGATTGATACCAAAATGATGTATTTTTTGGCTTTTCTTTTCTATCCTTATTTTGAAGGATCTTTAGATTCATAAACTCACTCTGACAATCTGTTACCGAGATCCCTTACAGCGTTCTATTTGTGAGAGCAACTATCAAGGCCAAACCATCCAGATTTTCTGATTTAGTTTAATTCGTCAAG